TCCATCCTTGTATGCCCGCACATCCAACTCAACATCCTCATCTCTGCTACTTTCATCTTCTGGATGTGTGAGTTCTTAACCGGCCAATATTCGGTCCCATACAACATGGCAGGCCTAACCACTGCTCTATACAACTTACCTTTTAGTAACGTTGGCACTTTCTTGTCACACAAGACTCCCGACGTTAACCTCCCCTTCATCCACCCCACCCCTAGACGGTGTGTGACATCCTCGTCGATCTCGCTGATCCCCTGAATAACTGACCCAAGGTACTTGAAACTACTCCTCTTAGGAATGACTTGAGAGTCAAGCATCACTTCCATTCCCGCTTCCGTCGGCTCGGCCCCAAATTTGCACTCGAGGTATTTCGTCTTCGTCCTGCTCAACCTGAAGCCTTTAGACTCAAGGGCCTGTCTCCAAACCTCTAGCCTCTCGTTGACGCCGCCTCGTGTCTCATCAATTAGAACTATGTCATCAGCAAATAGCATGCACCATGGCACATCTCCTTGAATATGATGAGTTAGTGCATCCATCACCAGGGCAAATAGGAAATGGCTGAACGCAGACCCTTGGTGTAACCCTGTAACCGGAAAATGCTCGAAGTCGCCTCCTACTGTCCTAACTCGAGTCTTAGCTCCATCATACATGTCTTTAATCACCCTAATGTAGGCCGCCGGAACCCCTTTAACCTCTAAGCAGCTCCATAAGACCTCCCTAGGCACCCTGTCGTACGCTTTCTCTAGATCAATAAACACCATCTGGAGATCCTTCTTCTTATCCCTGTATTGTTCCACCATCCTCCTAATAAGGTGGATAGCTTCTGTGGTAGATCGCCCCGGCATGAACCCGAACTGGTTGTCTGAAATAGACACTGTCTTTCGCACTCTCATTTCTACCACTCTCTCCTAAACTTTCATGGTATGACTCAGTAATTTGATACCCGTATAGTTGTTACAGCTCTGGATATCGCCTTTATATTTATACAACGGAACCATTGTACTCCACCTCCACTCTTCAGGCATCTTATTAGTCTTGAATATAACATTAAACAACCCAGTAAGCCATTCCAAGCCTGCTTTACCCACACACCTCCAAAGTTCAACCGGAATTTCGTCTGGCCCGGTAGCTCTGCCCCTTCTCATCTTACGCATTACCTCTATGACCTCATCGACCTCAATGTCCCTACAATAACTTAATTCATGAGGACTGTCGGCATTCCTCCATTCACCTAGTACAATACCTTGATCCCCTTCTTCATTTAGAAGTTTATGAAAGTAGGTCTGCCCCTTCTTCATTCCTACAATAACTTATTTCCCGAATCTTAAAATTCCTAGATCTGCACCCGTATCGGACACCCGCAACCGAGTCCGGGCAACTTAGCACCACACTATTGTCCAACCTTAGTTTATCACTGGGATTCAACCATGAAGACTTCAACCCCAATTCAGGTGTCTTTAGGCAACCACCTCACTTTCTTCCTTAAAGGAGCCTCACCTTTTCAAAGTCCATCTTATCATTTAACTAGTTTTCAGCAAGTGTCTGGGAACTATAAATAATTTCATTACTTTAATGATCATAACACAAAAGATAATTCCATTACATCATCATATTCATCATTTTTTCTTCAATGGGTACCTAGTGATTCACGTAAGCAGCCAATATCCCGCTAATTAATCTACTGAGTAAAAGAGGATAAGGTTTCTCCATAAGACATGCAAACTTACATTTCTAGTTCTGCTCACATCATCAACAGCCATAAGCAAGCATAGCTAGTCTCACAGCTAAACCCAGGTCGGTAGGTTAAACTTGATCACATTTTTTTACAATAGCCACCAGCAGATTCTAAGAGTTCAACAAAAGAATTTTTTTTTAATGTTTTGAAGAAAATGGAGAAGAGGAGCGTTGGCGTAATTGGTAAAGTTGTTGTCATGTGACCAGGAGGTTACGAGTTCGAGCCGTGGAAACAGCCTCTTGCAGAAATGCAGGGTAAGGTTGCATACAATAAACCCTTATGCCCTTCCCCGGACCCCGCACATAGCGGGAGCTTAACTGGGCTGCCCTTTTTGTTTTGAAGAAAATGGTATCAAATTCATTGCATGTAACGTTCCAACAAATCCTAATCAGCAGTATAGTAAGTTGAATAAATGTACCATCTAAGCTTCTGAAACTTCGAGGGAAGGTGAGATAGTAGAGCCTGCACAGCACATAGCAAGTGTCAGCTGAAGTGTAATGGTATATACAAAGAGATTTGAGGACATCAAGGACTAGCAACATAAACTATGTCAGCCCATAAGAATGACAAAGCACGAAAAGGGGATAATTTTAAAATTGCAATGTCAAGTATCATGGAACAAAAATCAATCAGGGATAAAGAATACCTTATGCCGCGGCGGTAGCTTTCTGAAAGATCTTTCCCATCTTTTCACATCCTCCTCTGCAGCTTCAGGATAACTGTAGGATAATCAGACAAATAATCAGAATATACTTTTCAAATAATATTTTTGCAAACCGGAAAGTTATTTAGAAAAAAAAAATGGCGGTGTCCGGTTAATACTGAACAAGAAGATTAATTTATACTACAACAAGTTAAGGCACATAGAAAAGGAAAAAAATAATTGAAGAGTGTGTGTGTGTGTTAGCGCGCGCGCGCTTACTTTAGGTAGGCGCTGATGATACGGCGGAGGGATTTGACTTCTAGGGCTTCTTCAAGCTTCCTCCGCTCAAGTTCCTCCTCGGTTTGCATGTTTGACATTGCCTGAGAGGCTGAGACGATGAACACGCTCTACTCTCTACTCTCTACTCTCTACTCTCACAATGGCTCTCGCCGTATTAAAGTGGTGCTCTCTTTTTTGTCCTCCTTTTGTAGCAGAGCAAAAAGTCTTATAATTACATTTCCACCCCACCAAATGGCAGTATTTACTGTTCTTTGAGGGGAAAAGCCAATTACGTCCCACAAGTATAGCTCAAATTAAATATACAAAAAAAAAAAAGAAAAAAACTCAAATTTTTATTTTTGAACTATTTAAAATGGAATAATTTTTTCCTCCATTTAAAATTAAAAAAAGTACTCTTAATTGTAGATATTTGAGCAAAGAAATGTTTCTTAAATACAAAAAAAGTTAAGCACCTAATAGACCATATCACTATATAATTTATTTTTACAAACTCAATATTTATCATCAACTTACTATAATATTTACCCCCTTTTTTACTTAGAATCCTTTAGTAGTAGTTTCGGTTATAAGCTCTCAAAATACTCTTTCAATAAAAAGTTTTCAAATATAACAGTCATTATTTTAAAAATTAAATTTTTAAAATGAATTAATTTTTATGTTGTGTTATAATATATGTCTTCTATAATAATATTTTATTGTAACAGCTAAAAAATATAAAACAAATAAAGTTATTATAGATACATAAAATACCATAAAAAAACTAAAAAAATATGTGCAGTCCCACATATTTGCCGAACAAATACTAAATAAAACTATTTTTGTTATGAATAGAATTCTATTTAGAGTGAATGTCTATCCCGTAGAGAGTTTTACTTTGTGACTAAGTCATTTTTCCCCTATAAATAGAGGGGTCTTACTCCATTGTAAATCATCCCAAAATATCAATAAGAATTACTCTCTCTTTCTCTGTAATATTGTTCTTCTACTTTTATTGTTTTATAACACGTTATCAGCACGAGACTCTAAACAATTGAGTAAAGGCTTTGGGATCGAGCATAATGATTGTCAATTATTCCATGAACTTCATTCGTGATTAAATTCTGGATTTAAGGTATGTATTTTACCGTATTTTTCTCTTTTATTCTATAATTTGATTTAAAATACAAACGAAGACGATAAATTTTGATTGTAACTATAATGGAGTTTGGAAGAGATTACAACCATCCAAAATGGTAAAGTTTCTATGCATTGCCATGATCAAATTCAGGTATGATTATGAGCAAAGAATTAAACCCGTCCCTTTGAATTTGCTCCATCTGATTCCCTTAAAAGAATGTGATAGCAGTATGTGATAAGTTTGAAAAAAGACAAAATTATTACCGTGAAGATATCAATGGATGTGGACGTGGCAATAGACGAAATTATAATCGGCATCATTGTGATAATGAGAACAATAAGGATTCTCAAATAATCCTTCACTTTGTGAAAGTAATAGTTGTCATCGATTTGACATGAGAATTTGTAAAACACATAGAGGTGATTATGGTCCATTCATGATTTGAATGTGACAACACGTGATTTATGAATACATATTCATTCTTGGAAGAATATGAACGTGCTAGTAGTAGTGAATATACCACGCTCACCTCTAGAATGAGGTTTGAGAGGAAATAAGAAAATAATATCATTATTATGGCATGAATGATCACTGGCTATGTACCTATTGTACGCCAAAATAAGTTGGTAATGTGATTATTAAAGGACAACAATCATGCAAGAAACAGATCTTGCATATAATTTTGACCATAACCATAATGGTATAACTTTCTCTTTAAAAGAGATATTCACCATATGGATGTTGGTGAATATGTGGTAGTACCAAATTAATTGAGAGCTTTGGAAGAGCCAATTATTACTATTTTGGAGAAATACAATTGATTACCAATAAGGTATTGTGTTGTAGTCTCAAAGAAACTTATTCAGTTTTTAAAGTATACGCGAAAGCGGTTGATTATATTGAGACTATAAATAAAGGAAAATTTTAATATCTTCTATTACTACAACTTGTAGCGAGGTACCATGTATGTGAAAAGTTACCCGCTTTATTCTTCATTTTGTACTACACAAATAAAAGAATACCACAATAAAGTGAATGTTTATTGATATAAAAACCAATATCATGATAAACTTGGAGTTTATTGATAATTACACACGTCATGGTGTAAATCTGAAGTTTATCAATATTGATAATTTATTCAGTTGGCATAATTGGTTTAGTCATATAAATTTAAGTACGATGTGCAAAAATAGTAGAGAATTCACATGAGTAAATATTAAAGAACTAGAAAGTTTTTTACGAATTCTCTTATATTGCTTGTTCTCATTAATTAATTGACCAACTAAAATTGGAATTGAATCCCATGAATGCTGGAAATATCAAAGGTGAATATGGGTCCAGTCACCTGCCATGTATACCACGCAAGATGCATCTATGAGATGGTTACATGTGCGATTATTATTAACCTACAACCTGGTGTTTGCTAGGTAACTGCTCAATAATTTAATTTAGAGCATATTCCAAATTTTTTTATTCAAGATAGTTCGTCTTGATAAGTTGATTTACATCACAGTTGGTTTAGCAAAATGATTTATTGAGTGCCTCCACTTAATAGCTAAACAATTGCTTATGAGAACAAAATTATCTATATCAGTTTGATATAAGTTATATACGAAAGTATATTACATTCTCCCCTCACAAATAGTTCAGGGTCAAGGACCAAATAATTCCATCTTATTATTATTGATGTGCGGTGTATATTTTGATTAACACAATGACACACAAAGATGGGCTTTCAAAGTTGAAGAAACAAGTTAGTTTTTCTAACATGAGGGGGGGCATGATAAACAGTTGAGAAAAAGTTACTTGGAATTGATTATCATTTGTATATCTAGATCCTCAAATACGATAATATGAACTTGAAGTTTATAAAAATATAATTCATCTGCAATATATTGCAAAGTATGTTAGACGCATTTGCTGACCCAAAGAAAGTAACTATATTCTCATTGCAAATGCTCTTATTAAGTCCTAGAAGGACAAAGTCTATGGTACGCCTAAACCATATAGACAAATCAGTTTCAAATAGCTTCTTGATAAAGAAGATGAGCAAATGATCAAACTGATCATAATAAGGAGGCAAGTGATCTAGAAGATCACGTGACATAACACTTCATAAAATCTAATGAGAGATTCAGGTACCTAAATATATGAATGAAGAGATCTCTATATTATGTCTTTATGAAAAAATATTGGAACCGATATAAAATGTTTGTCGACGACATCTATCATAACGCTAAGTATAGATAAGGATCTTAAGTCTATCGAATATATACATAAAAATATTGGTCAAATGGAAGAGACACAATTCGAATAGAATTGGTTTCATATAAAAGACATATAATTTTGTCTATGTTGTTCAAATACTTGAAAATATAAAGTCAATGGTATGTGCAATCAGTTTTCGATATCTTATATGTCTAGCATGACATGAAAACTTGATATACATCTAGAGTCTCTTTAGATGGCTTATATGACTTAACTTATATGACAATCCATGAAGGATTTAAGATGCTTAAAGCATATACAATTCTTGATCATTAAGTACCACTTTCTCAGTGCAATTTGTGCACATTTGTATCTTGCTATAACTATAAGCATGATAATGTGATAGCGAGGATTTTCAAGGTGCAATATATTCATTGGAGTTAATATGGCTGATTTATTCACCAAAACTCTGCCGACGTCAACCTTCAAGAAGCTAGTGTACAAGATCGGGATGCGAAGGCTCAAGGATGTGAATTGATGCTCTCATCAGGGAGAGTTAATGCGCGTTACACTCTTTTTCCCTTACAAAGTTTTGTCCCACTGGGTTTTCCTTGAAAGGTTTTTAACGAGGCAACCAAAAGGCATATTATTAGAGATGTGTACTCTTTTTCCTTTTCTAGAATTTTTTTCCCATTGAGTTTTATTTTAGTTAAGGTTTTAATGAGGCACATTACTTATCGAGTAGACATTCAGGGGAGTGTTATGAATATAATTTTATTTAGAATGAATGTCTATTTTGTAGAGAATTTTACTTTGTGGCTAAGTCATTTTTCCCCTATAAATATAGGGGTCTTACCCCATTGTAAATCATCCCAAAATATCAATAAGAATTACTCTCTTTCTCTGTAATATTGTTCTTCTACTTTTATTGTTTTATAACAATTTTATTTAAGATGTTAAGGTTTCTTATGTTTCTATTTCATAACCGAATAAAAACAAAGCAAACAATTGGAGGAATCCAAAAATAGTAGGGTTACTATTGTAAAGTAACTTAAAAAAATAAAAAATGTAAAATAGCATATACTATAAATTGTCTTCCTAAAACGAGGGAATTCAAGAACAGAGAGAGAGAGACTCTCCGCAAACACTTTCCAAAGCAAAGCGTACCACCACCGCCTTCCTCTCTCTTCACCATCAACTTCAACACTCAAAAAGAACCCAAATTCACAATATTCTTCTGAATCTGGTAAACTCTTTTTTTCTTCATTTTTTCTGTTATTTCCCACAAAATCTTGAATACACTACCAGGCGGGAAATAAAAATCTCAACTTTTATCTGTGTCTAATGAGATTAATATTGGTATATTTTAATTGGGAAATAAAAATCTCTACTTTTTTCCATAATGTGATGCTTGTTTATTTACATTAGTATCAGTGCCAGAAATGCTGTGTCTTGATATGTATGCAATTACGAACAGTGAATTTGTTGGATGCTGTTTTTTTGTGTTTTCTTTCATTCTGATTTTATTATAGGGTTTGTGTCATGTGTATTTTTTTGGGTTTATGCTTTTCAGTGTAATGCTTATTTACTACATTAGCATTAATGTCTGAGTTGTTGTCTCTGTATTGGAACATATAGTAGTGAATTTATTTGTTGCATTTTTTTTTTTGGGTTCTATAAATCTTGAATTTGTAGGGCTTCTCTCATGTGGGTTTCCTGTTTATTCTCTGTAATGTAATGCTTTTTATTTACTTACAGCAGCATTAGTGCTAGAAATGTTGTGTCTTGGAATATATGCATGTGAATGTATTCTTNCTGTTTATTCTCTGTAATGTAATGCTTGTTATTTACTTACAGCAGCATTAGTGCTAGAAATGTTGTGTCTTGGAATATATGCATGTGAATGTATTATTTGCATTTTTTTGGAATTCGTAAATCTTGACTTCTTAGGGTTTGTGTCATGTGGGGGTTTCGTTTTTGGTGTATTGCAGGGTTTGAAAATGCCGTTATATAAAAGAAAGCCATTTGCTTTGGTGGAAAAACCAAAGGATTTGAAGCCTAATGACCTCGTGTTCCAAGTTCGTTTTACTAAAGAGATATTTAAGGATTACAGGTAACCCCTTGAAAGTCATGATTTTTGTTGAAATTGATGATATTTTCTTTTTTTATTTGTGGTAATATTCCGATGTAATGAAATGTGTACTTTGCTAAAAAAATGTAGTGAATATCTGAGACGGATGAACCTGTATCGCCATAGAGTATGGTCATGCAAATCGACAGGAAAGAATAACTTGACGTATGAGGAGGCATTGGTTTCAGAGAAGAAGGCTGCAGAAGAAGTTCAGAAGTTCCCCGAGGAACTAATGGCTCCGGTTCTCCGTGATGTGCAATTCAGTACGTTAATACACTTTCTTAGCTGCTTTGTGTTACATTAAATTTAAACATTGGGATAACTGAATTTGTTTTCGTACCTAACTGAAATTTTGTTAGTGTTGTTAGTAACAGAGATGATCTTAATTTTGCTCTCTTTTTTTCAAATTTAATTACTTCATCTCTTAGAATTTAATGTTTAAGGTTCTGATATCACTACATTTTCGTTCTAAAGAAGATTTGTTGTTGTAATGCAGCCTTGCATTTATGATAGTGAGGATTCATACGGCCAACCCAACTAGCTTGGGATTGAAGCATAGTTATTGTTGTTGTAGTGTAGCCTTGTTTAAGATAAGAAGCAAAAGAAAGGAATCACGATTGTCGGTCTTATTACCTAGTTTCAAGGTCTAAGACCTATGTTGCGCGGACTCTCCAAAATGTAGCCGCACCCGTGTCGGATCCTTAAAAAATGCACTACTATTGGAGGATCCGACACGTATCCTGCCACATTTTCGAAGAGTCCGAGCAACATAGTCTAAGACTATGGATATATTCTGTATGATTAATTAATTTAGAATAAAGATAGAATATCCTGGATTTTGCTTACATGGTCATCACATAAATTTTGCCTGTATGCAATTCTATCCTAGATGGTAGGTTTACCTGTGCTGTAGACATGGAACCTTACTTTTGAGATTCATTACTTTTTTATTTTTTTGGAGGGATAGAGAGGGGGAATGACTATGTATGTAGAATAACAAGGGAAAGGGAGTATGAACTTGGAAACCTGATGAAGCTTGCCAAACTGAGAGGCAGCCTACAGTTTCTTTTCGTTACTTAGGTTAGACTTTACTTAATCGAGAAGATACTACAAGATAATGTTGAGAAATCCACTAACTTTGGAGCTATTCTTATATCACTTTCTTATCTTATCTTCTTTGTCTTTTTTTTTTTTTAAAATGGAGGTGTACTAGCTAGCTTGAGCGTACTTCGACTATTCCATAAGGTACCTGCTACTTTAGAATAGTATAATTATTGGGTAGTTCTACTCACCAAAGCTTAGGCAGATGAGAAAAAATCACCTAGTATTTTTTGTCTATATCGGGATTTGAACCCTGGTTGCCAAAGTTTGCACCCACTTCATTGACTTGTATGCCACACTCTTGAATGCTAATATTTTCTTGTCTTTGGAAATGTTTAGATCATCTCCAATCTATGAAATTTAGACTTTGAACTTTAATATCAATTTCATGTGTCTGAAGTGTTCTAAAAGGCTTTAGTAATTTTGTTTCATTTCCCTCTTGAGATTTTTTTTTTTTGNATTTCCCTCTGTTCTCTAGTGTATATAAACAATCTCTTATGATGTATGTTTTGTATATTATGATGATGGATAAATAGACATGTCAAGCAGTTTGGCATTAAATCCAGCATAACAAGGATTAAGTGCATGATAGATCAAATTAGAATTAGAGTTTTTATCCTTTCTTTAGCTGAGGGTCTATCGAAAACAACCTCTTTGCTCTTCTAGAGTAGGGGAAAGACTGCGTACATCTTACCTTCCCCAAACCCCACTTTGTGGGAATTCACTGGGTTTATTGTTGTTGTTGTTATATCAAGATCAATGAACAGTTCCAACCACAATTTAGACAGATAACACTTAATTGAAATTGTATGCAATACAAGGAGTAGTAGTAAATATTTAGAATTATACTTTCTAAGTCTGGATTATGCAAGATAAGACTTACATCAACGTTCCCAAGTAGAGTGTGAAGCACTTTTTTGGGGGGGATGAACAATGTGAATCCTTCACTTGATTAAAAAAAGAGTTTAAACAATTCATTGATGTAGTTATGTTATCATGTTCATGCTTTAGCCTTGCGTCTGACAGTGGTGAGCTCTATCTCGTTGCAATTGTTTGCCTTATGGTTTTTGCTGCTTCAATACATGCCAAATAGTTCCAGCCATCCAAGTATTAAGTGCAAAATTGGTCAAACTAGAACTAGATTTTTCCAACTTAGATAAAACACTAATATCGGGCTTATCATTGAGCAGACCTGGCCAGTACCTAAAGAGTGAACACTTTATTGAACATAGTTGAATAACGAGGAGTAACAGCAAATTGCTAGAGTTACACTTTTGCAAACTAGATCATGAAAGTTCAAGACTCAACCTGTCAATGTTCCCGACACTTTGCTAGTGTAATTATGTTATACATGTTCTTGCTTTAGTTTTGCTTCAGTTTGAGGAGAACACTATTACGTTTCAATGGTTAACTCATGGTTTTGCTGCTTGAATACATGCAAATCTTTCCAGCAATATTCTCTTCCTTAAATGATCCAGTGAACTCGTTTATATCCTCATTTCAATCTTAGCTCAGCTTTTTATCATTAATGAACCTATGGTTCAGTATTATTAAGGTTAAGAATTTTGCAAGCTAGTGTTTCAAATAAATGTGGTTATCCATGTGATCGGGTTTTGCCTTTCCGTTTACAATTCTGCTGTGTTTGTGCGCATCCATTCTCTTGTGGTGTTTTTTCTTGATGATCATTGGTCCTTTTCAATGACTGAATTGCAGGTATGCTCAATTTAAAAGATCTTGGGGACGCTATTGCTCAAAAGCTGCAGGGCTGTCTTTCAGAAGGTAGTGAATTATATGGGAGGAAAACCAATCATGTATATTCCTGCAAAATTGAGAAAGTTGTGAAGGATGGTGAGGAAACCCGTTATGAGGTTTCATGGCTAGACAAATATGAAAGACTGCCTGAGAATACAGTCATCAATGAAGAAGATCTGATTAGGTGCAAATTGCGATTTAGTAGAGCTTTTCTAAGGTCCTTTATCAGAGAATCTACATATCGAAGCATTCCTTGGGTCTTACATGAAAAATTGGCAAAGAAGCATGGAATACCAACTGGTCCTCCGGATGAGCTTAAGGATCAAATATGTATGCAGGATGGTGGTGTTGTTATTAATAGAAAGAAAAAGAAAAGTGAAGATAGAGTAAGTGCTTTGCTAACTGTGGGCATATTGTCCTGTTAATTTTGTCACTTTGTAAACTGTTATTCATGTACTAACAGTCTTGTTTATTCAGGAGGCAAAAGAGAATGGCTTCCAAGATTCAAATGAGATAGGAAAAGGTAATGCTGTTGAATGTTGGCTTGTTGCTATTTACTTTCTATTCCATAGAGTTATTTCTTCTACTTATTGGTACTTACACAGTGAAAAAGCTACTATTTTGTATATAGACCTAAAGCTTTTCGTCTCAATTAAGTATTAATGGCAGCATAAGATGATCGCATATTTACTTAACTAAGTTGCATCAAATCTTAAATCGTTACATATCTTGTAAATGTTACATGCTTACTTGAAGTGTAACATCTTAGGTAGATTAGATCCTGTGACGAATTATTCAGCAACACATTGGGCAGTTGTAACAAAATAAGAAATTTTAGCAATTCTGTGTCTGGAAAAACTTGAAAAGAAAAAATCACACACAGTGGACATCACTTACTTAAACTTTTCCCAGACACAAATTGTTAAGCAACATCTTGAATATGTTCCATGTTTACGTGGAAAGTGTTAATTAACTTAGAAATGTTATATGTTAACTTGAAAGTGTTACATAATTGGGATTTTATAATTTAACGGAATCTTTTATCTAAAGAAACATACCTCCTCTTTCCACCTTTATGGTGTATATTTTGGAACTGATGGTAGTATGATATGAAGCGGTATTTCTGCTGTCTATTTTCTCGTGCTCCGTATTAATGCTTCCTCCTGCATTGGCATATACAGAAGACAACCTGAACGCGGAGTCCATTAGATATCCAATCGATGATCTTTTGGTGCAATGTGCAGAGTCCGATAAACACTTGGTTGAACGCCCTTCTCCATGTAGGGAATTTAACGTCCCAATGGAATGCATAGGGGATCTTTTGATGGTATGGGACTTTTGTACTTCGTTTGGCAGGTTGTTCCACCTGTCGCCATTCTCCCTTGAAGATTTTGAAAGTGCTGTCTGTCACAAAGGCAGCAACATTGTTCTCATATCTGAATGTCATTCAGCCCTTCTTCGCTTTCTTTTGAAAGATAACGGCGAGTATTTCATGGCTGTACAGAAGAAAAGACAGAAGCTGAAGGTAATATTTGAATCATGTAATATTTTCTTTTAAAGGTCATGACTTCTTTAACTCTTCAAGGATTTGTGTTTATTTTGGACATATGATTCGTTAACCCTCTTGTGTAACAAGACAATCTGATCAAGTACCATAGTTTGTCAACTCTGATGATAATGATGAGTACCTTTGAAAGGTGAAGTTGGAACTTGTCCTGATGTGACGCAAGCTCCAAAAATCCCGTGGGGATTATTGGAGGGAAAAAGTCTCAAGGGCTAATGCCCCGATGACCCGATATTCTTGGGGCTTCCGGCTCCTGCGTGCTTTGTGGCTTAAATGTTTGGTGGGTTGGAGCATTTTCTCTCTTAAGCTTATTATGTTTTTGGCTATATCTTGTATAATATGTTTATGCGCTATCACTTAGAATTTGGTGATTTGTATAATGTATTGTTGTATGCTGTTATACTAGGCATTTAAAGTGATTGAATTTTATATAGTTGAATGAATTTTCCACTTCTAGACATATTTTTTGCTACTTCTGATGTAAGTAATTATATGAAAATGTTCCTCGTGGATAACCTCTTTCCCATGATAGGCAAAATGCCCATGACCTGAAATGAATAAATTAAAGCTGATGGTTGAAATTTGAATTTGTAAGTTCACTTTTGAAATAAAATATTTTTTGTAAATGTATGCAAACTGACTCATAAATCAGAATGTGTTTGACATGTTTCACTGATAGGATATTTTCTCTCTTGTGAGGCAAGTAGCTATTAACTGTGCATTCTTGTTTACAGCCTGATGATATTAGCTATACTTTCTTTTTTAAACACTAATCATAGTTTTAAACCTTTCTTATTTTTCTTCCAGATTACTTTAATCAATTGGATGGAGTATTTGTCTGATTTCTTGGAATTAATTGGTATTATAGAATTGTCTAATCATGTTGCAACAATTAAGAGGGGTCACTATGGCCTTGTAGACATTCAGGCTAAATTGGCAATCTTGCGTGAACTGGTCTGTCGAGTCATTGAGACAGAGTATTTTAAAGAGAAATTGGATGAGGATATTGAAAAAAAGCAGGCACTTGCAGCAACAAGGAGAGATGAAATTTTGGAAGAATCTAGGAAGAAGAGAGAAGAAGACCATTTGAAAATACAGTCTAATGGGAAGGAAGCAACAAAAGGGTGTGGCAACTCCTCAGATACTGGGAGCGATAACCACCTCAGAGAGAATGGAGATGTGCCAAGTAGGAACGGCAAACGAACATCATCTCAATCAAAACATTCATTAGAAGACAGGTTTGTTTTTTATGTACTCGAAATTTTTCTGGAATTTGGATGGTAACTTAATGATGTCGGCTCTTATTTTTCTTTTTTCTCTATCTCCTGTTGCTTCCTCTCTGACATCTGCTAGTGAGAGTGAGCTACTAGCAGACTCATTTAAAAAAGCTAAGATGAGAAAGGTTGAAGTCAAAAATGCTACAGAAAAGATGAATGGTTCCTCGAAGATTGCTTCTGACAAATTGATAAAGGATGAAGGGAAGGAAACATTAGACAACAGGAGTAAGGATCAAAGAGCTCTTCACAAAATGCGGAAAAATGAGATAAAGGAGCATCTTGAAAAAAGGAGTAAAGAGCAAAGGGTGAGCCCCCTCGCTTCTCTCGATCTAGTTCTCTGGTTTTCTTTCTTTGACACACGAGCATGTAGTCTTGTGTTTAAACAGAATTTTTGTTACCTAGATATCTGTTGAAATAGCTTCATGGTCTCACTTGACATAAATGTCTTATACCTATTTATTTGTTAAGCAAGTTCCTTGTGTATCTTCAAATTGCAGAAAGAATATCTTGAACGGGAAATAGAGAAGAGAGTAATACGCACCAATCCATTGGGTAAGGACAGAGATTATAATAGGTATTGGTTTTTCCGCCGGGATGGAAGAATATTCGTTGAGAGTTCAGATTCTGTCCAGTGGGGCTATTATTCTTCCAAGGAAGAGGTATTGGTGCTAGATCACACTTTCTCTTATGGTTTTCTCTTATGTTGTGATAATCTTCAGCTTTTCCTGGTAACAGCTTGATGCTCTGATTGGATCACTGAATGTGAAGGGTGTAAGAGAGAGGGCTCTTAAAATGCAACTGGAAAAACTCTATGACAAAATAAGGTGAGTTAAACGTCAGATGAAACATTTTGATTTTCTTATATTCTTTAATTGGAATCCTTATGTGACTTAGAAGGAGACCACAGTTCCCAAAAAACAAAATCATGTACTTGTATTAGTTTTTAAGGAAAACACAACAAGGTGACCTGAACTTATCAAAATAAAAATAAGATTAGTTGAACATCAATGAAACATTTTGATTTGTTCATTTCATTTCATTTGAATTTTTGGGATTATATTGGTTTTTTTGTTGTTGTTGTTGTTTGTTGTATTTGATTTGAATTTTGGAGACATCTATGTTACCATTTTCAAAAAAAAAAAACAATTGGAGCCAACTCAGAAAAGAGGCCATGGTACTAAACTCATGTGAGAACTTGGTTGGGTGGTCTATATTTGGTCCTACTTTTAGGCTAAGCAATTTTTATATCATTTGGAAAACTGTAAATAATCTTTTGTGATGCGTGCTTTCTGCTGGCATGTTTGACATTTGCTGCTTAATTAAGTTTAAGCTGTAGTAATGTGAAGTCCGCTTGATTATCACGCACAAGTTCCATTTGACTAAGCTCTCCAAATTTCGATACTTCTAGCAGTGCTTGATCCATATTAGTTCAGGTTTAGACACTGCCATAACGCAATACTTTGCTTCTGCACTTGGTCTCGCAATTATTTTTGTTTCTTACTTTTCGGAGACCTCAAAATTTCCCCAACTAGAATGCTGTATCCAGAATAGTCTGCTGGAGGGTGACCTTGCCCAAGCTGTATCTGTATATCCAACAATCTGCTTATGTCCTCCGGTATTCATAAAGTAGTCCTTTCCTTGGAGCAACATTTCTGTACTAAATTCTGGACAAGCATTTGGATTGGGAGTACTAGTTTGAAGAGATCCAGATCTATTTAACAACACTATAGCAAAGGATGGCAAAGTCTGAGATTTTTATTCAGATACAGTCTGGCAAGTAGAATTCAGAAGGAATCTAAAGGACTGGGAGGTGTAGGTTTTCTGCAACTGCTACAACAGTTGGATTCAGTTTTAATGGGTCAAAACAAGGAGGACTGCTTGATTTGGGTGAACGGCAAGGACAAAATGTTTTCTGTAAACAGCTGTTATGGTCTGTTACTAAAGTTATTTTCTAATTGCCCTGGAAGATGATGTGAAGCAGTGTTTTAAAAGGCGTTTTCAGGGCAGGGCAAGTGTACCAATAACGCATTGAGGCTTACTTTGGTTGTGTGTGTGTGTGTGTGTG